TTTCCCTTGATATCAGCGCCTCACACTCCATCCCAGTAGGTGGCGGAATATGCACCAAAAGCTGGTTTGCCAACCGCCATTAAACATCATCATAAGAAGAAGAAGAATCCACATCCGGGTCTTGCGCTGCTGCTGGTGTGCAGACATTCGGTCCCGAACACAGCGGACCAAAACAGCGGTCAAACCCGACACTTTCCACGTTCAGGACGCTGAATAAATGGGAATGATGCAGCCTTGGTTTAAACAGATAAGGGTGATCCGCTCTTTCATAGACTGAATGCGGAGCAAAACAATCCGCCAGCCTGTCTCTCTCACCACCGCCGCGCTCAGTTTATATCTCTCTCTTTCTTTTCGTCCTTCTCTTTTATCTGGTTTTTACCTCCTCCACTACAGAACTGTCCAGGGCTCATTTTTAGTGGGTAAGTTTCTTTGCTCTTGTAATATGCCTATGTGAATGATAGAGCTAGCTTGTTAGCATGTAGGCTAAGGGAGTAGGCGGGTGTTGTGTGAGCTCGGCGGGTTAATCTGTCGTATGTGGCCGTCGCATGGTGCGCTGAGGGCCGCGGGTCTGACAACACAAGCCTGAGGCTTCATATGGGCCTTTCGTTAGCATTTAGCTTGCTAGATTGTCTGACCTCAAACCTTAACAGTGGGTATCTGCCAGACTCTTAACTCATATTTTCCGATTACATCCACTAGCCCATTTCACGTTGTCTGAATGTTTCAGTCAAACTGAAGGGACCCAAACGTCAGTGTTAGCATGAAGCTAGCGTGCTAACAGGCTCGCGACACCATGACGTAATGCGGAATAGAGGCGCGTGAACATGCGGCAGGTCTGCACGCGCAGACTTTCAGTTCACTGCTGTTCAGCACTAACAAGGGCAAAGAACATTGATTGCTGATATCTCACTGTAAAACGCGAATGTACTCCAGCAGTAAATCCAGTCTGCAGCAAACAAATACAGGGTTCAAGGCTTGGGTTTTATAAATTGCACTGGTTTTGTGTTCAGAGTGAGCTGTGATAGATGTGAGTGGTGAATAATGGTGAGAATGCATCGGTAACGTTACTTGTCTATTTTTAGTATATGAGTGTGTAGTGTGCGTTGCAGTGCGTTAGCTGATAGCCATACATGGCTGAGAACCCGCTGTATGTGTGTCTGCCTGCCTTTGTGTGTGTGTTTACATTTGTTTCTTGTGCGTGTTGGCATGCCATAGTTTATTTCTGAAGTGACCACTAGCATGACAAGACTTCTGTAGTTTCGGTCAACATGAATTATAAATAGTGGTCTTGTGCTGGGTGTGTGTGTTTACGCTTGATTCGGGTTAGCATTAAACTGCCCATTAAATGTTTTACAGTTCAAGTAAACAATTGTTTTAAGTCGACATGAAATGAAAATGAATCCTTAATGCATAATCCGAAGGCGAACGACAGACTTGTTTCTGGTGACGTATGTCAGGCTTCTCCAATCATTTCGTCCGCTGAAACCTCGCCCCTTTTGTACAACTGACTGCATGCTGGCATTCAGATATGTCTCCATCAATCAACAACCAGTTAATAGAATCAATTCACCCCTACATATTTTGTATTTTGTACATATTTCTGTAATCCATTTCACCCAATTACCTAATTGTAATCCATATCATTAATTACCTCAAATCTGTTACTACTCCTGTTTCGTTGTAACTTTAATGCCATCTTAAGATGAGTAGGCAACGTCAATTTTTCCTGTTCTTATTTGGATTGAAAACCTAAATTAAATTGGCTTTAATTTTTGCATATAAGAACTACACTATATAACTATTTTTTTTCTTGACTGACATGAGTATTTTGCTTATTCTGCTGAGATTAAAAAGTTGTTGTTAAACATTTACTTGTTGCAATTTCATACAATGTTTTAACACTTGAACAGGGTTATTGAACTGTGCAATTGATGGGTGGGAGAGTCAGTTTACTTTAAAGTTGAAGTATATAATTTGTGTACCGCAAGTGTCACCAAACAGAATTGTCTTTCATTGTTGAGACAAACATGTCATCCTGCACTAGGGCTGCATGATTTTTTGTAATAAAAATGGTGACTGTAATTTAAAATGTGATTAAAAAAAAAAGACAAAAAACTGTTTGTGGGGATGCAAAAAAATATTTTTTTAAAATAAGTAATAATAATATTATATTATTAATAATAATATTATATTAAATATATTATTATAAAGTATAATAATAATAATAGTTGTTGTTATCTGAAAAAGAATATGTGAATTATTATTATTAGTCGCAATAGTAGTAGTTGTAGTCGTATTTATATTGATATTTAACTTTGTAAATAAAGAAGTGCTTTAAATCAGTTGGTAGGTAATAGGGTTGGGTTGATAGACGATGCCGTCGTCCATCGCCGATGGCTGACAGACATCACGATGTTAAGCTGACATCGTGATTCCCCCACACACCTCTCCCACAATCCGCCGCATCCCAGTTCCGTGTTCGGAAAGGAAATGAAGTGTACTACAGAAACCCTAAAGGGAATAAATAGCCTACGAGATGGGAGGATAACAAAAATATTTAAATACTTTTTCTCGCAATTATATCGTTGGGTAAGTATAGGCGACTGTATATAAATTGCGGGCATCAGGGAGCCGCTATTGAAACCTTTCACGTACTGTAATGCAACAGGCTACCGCTAGCAAGCGGCTAACCTTTTAGTGGCTCCGTATAACTCGTTATTTGTTTCACGCTTTGGGCACACCCCTAACCCCGCCCCCCGATGTTATCGTCCATCACGATGTTTCACTGTAGACATCATCCGATGCCAATTTGGTAGACATCGCCCAAGCCTAGTAGGTAACAGGTATCGAAATTGAAGGTTTTTGAGAATTGTGAAATTTTTACTGGTATTGACTACTGAAATTTAGTACCATGACAACCCTATACAGAATTAATTTTTCGATGAATCGTGCAGCCATATATCTGGCCCAGCTGGGATGCAAATAGCAAATATTTTGGTGCTGTAAGTGGAATATAAATGAAACACTTTTTTTTTATATTGCTCATCATCATTCTCAAACTTTTCTGTACTAGATTTCTAAGCCGCAGAGATGGGTGCGTTTCTGGATAAGCCAAAGATGGAGAAGCACAACGCTCATGGTGAAGGCAATGGCCTGTGCTACGGCCTGAGCAGCATGCAGGGCTGGCGTGTAGAGATGGAGGATGCGCATACCGCTGTCATCGGCCTGCCCAACGGCTTGGACCCCTGGTCGTTCTTCGCTGTTTACGATGGGCATGCAGGATCACAGGTGGCACGTTACTGCTGCGACCACCTCCTGGAGCACATCACCAACAACCCTGACTTCCAGGGTGGAGGCGGAGGAGGGTGTCCAGCCGTGGAGGCCAGCGTAGACAGCGTGAAATCTGGAATCCGTACTGGTTTCCTGCAGATCGACGATCACATGCGGCAGATCTCGGAGAAGAAACAAGGTGGTGCCGACCGCAGCGGCTCGACCGCCGTCGGTGTGATGATTTCACCCCGCCACATCTACTTTATCAACTGCGGAGACTCAAGGGGTTTGCTGAGCCGCGGAGGGGCTGTGCACTTCTTCACACAGGACCACAAACCCAACAACCCTTTGGAGAAGGAGAGGATCCAGAACGCTGGAGGATCTGTGATGATCCAGCGCGTCAATGGGTCCCTGGCAGTGTCTAGGGCTCTGGGGGATTTTGACTATAAGTGTGTGTATGGTAAGGGTCCCACGGAGCAGCTGGTGTCGCCGGAGCCTGAGGTGTATGCTATCGAGCGGTCGGAGGTGGAGGATGAGTTTATTGTTCTTGCTTGTGACGGGATCTGGGATGTGATGGCCAATGAGGAGCTGTGTGATTTTGTTCGTTCACGACTGGAGGTGACTGATGATCTGGAGAGGGTCTGCAATGAAATTGTGGATACCTGTTTGTATAAGGTGAGTATAAACAGGCTTTTACCAGGCTTATCAGATGAATGCTTTTGTCTATTAAAAATACAATGAAAATGTAAAATCACAGTCTGGAGATAAATCACACTTGTTGATAGTTTACAAAGTTTGTTTCAAAAGTTTGGGGTCAGTAAGAATTTTATTTATTTTTTATTCAGCAAGGATGCATTAAATTGATCAACAGTGACAGTAAAGTGACTTGCTACAAAAATGATAATTTGTTACAAAAACTTTTTATTCAGCAAAGCATCCTGAAAAAACAAAGCATCCCTTTCACAAAAATTTCAAGCAGCAGTGTTGTCAACATTGTTGATAATAATAATAAATGTTTCTTGAGCACCAAATCAACATATTAAAATGGTTTCTGAAGGAATATGACACACTGAAGACTGGAGTAATGGCTACTGAAAATTCAGCTTTACCATCACAGAACTGATAAAAAAAAAAAAAGTTTAATAGAAAACTTCATTTTTTTTTTTTCACAATATTACTATTTTATCTTTTATTGAGGCATCTCTGTTTTTAATTTAAGATGAGGAAAATTCGTTAAGTTTAGCTTGATGAAAACAAATGTTGTATAGAGTAATGGATGATTTTTATTTTGGATGACTTTGGTAGCTTCATCTATTTCACTAGTGCATAATGAACATATGTAACTCTGTACTAAACATAAGTTGTTTACATTTTTACACAGAGTGTTCATAACACGATCTTCAAGTTTTAAATGATCTCCCATTTTTACACAGTGTTTCATTGGTATTAAATTTTGGTTTAAATTAGGGCTGCACGATAAATCGCATGCGATATTTAATGCGCATCTTGTCAGAAAGCCGGTTCTGTAATCAGCGGTAAATCTCCATCACCTGCGGGCTTTCACATTGAGCAGCATTAACTACACAGAGCCGTTGTTCACTGATGAGCTGCGCAAAACCACGTTCATATTCACGCGCTTTTTTGTGCAGCTCGTCATGAGCAGCATTAACTACACAGAGCCGTTGTTCACTGACGAGCTGCACAAAAAATCGCGTGAATATGAACGTGGTTTTGCGCAGCTCATCAGTGAACAACGGCTCTGTGTAGTTAATGCTGCTCAATGTGAAAGCCCGCAGGTGATGGAGATTTACCGCTGATTACAGAACCGGCTTTACTGATAAGATGCGCTGTAAATATCGCATGCGATTTATCGTGCAGCCCTAGTTTAAATTGATGAAACCCTCCCTTCTTCTGTGTTTGGACAGGGAAGTCGTGACAACATGAGTGTTGTGTTGGTGTGTTTCGTCAGTGCACCGAAGGTTTCCCCTGAAGCTGTCAAAAGGGAAGCAGAGCTTGATAAATACCTAGAGAGCCGAGTAGAAGGTATGAGCTAACCTTTACAACCTTCTGCTATTAAATGGAATCGGTAATTCAGCTGAGCCAAACTTGATTGATCTGAATTGTTGTTGATATAACAGAGATCCTGAAGAGGCAGGGGGACGAAGGTGTGCCCGACCTGGTACATGTGATGCGCACGTTAGCATCTGAGAGCATCCCCAACCTACCACCTGGAGGAGAGCTGGCCAGCAAGTGAGTACCACACAATCTCTCCCTCTCTCTTTACTTAAAGTTGCAAAACCTAGTGATCTGTCAGTCCAACATTTTGTGAACCATTCATAGTTTTCAGTCACGTGACTGGCTCGAAGACCTAGCGGGCAAAACATCCATAGAACTGCAGCACAAGCCCGTCAATTTTCTATCTGTTCCAATCCAAAAATATTTAGACCAGCTCTCAAAAGAATAAAACAAAGATATGTGAACTAAATGCAAATTTTGGCCATGAGCAATCTATAAAAAGCACCCACCGCAATATTTCAGTCACTAAAAACACAGCACATTCTAAAAGTGCCTTTAAAACAGTGATATTAAAAGATCAAATTCAGTACACACCTTATTGAAGATGCGTGCTTTATGCAGGCAAGCAAATGAACCCGGGATATGAAAGCAATGCGCTAAATGGTTAAGCGTCTTCTTTATAATGTTTTTCTATGGGAAAACATTTAAAGGGGTCATATGATGCGATTTAAATTTTTCCTTTCTCTTTCAAGTGTTACAAGCTCTTGGTGCATAAAGAAGATCTGTAAAGTTGCAAAGACTAAAGTCTCAAATCCAAAGAGATATTCTTTATAAAAGTTAAGAGTCAACCACGCCTACCTAAAACGGCTCGTTCTAACACGCCCCCACATGTCTACGTCACGATGTGGGAAGATTTGCATAATGCCACCCAAATGTTCACGCAAAGAAAGAAGGCGTAACTTTTATTCTCGCTGTAGTATAGTTGTTGCTGCCGCCATGTCGTGAAGGCGCTGTGTGCTTCGTTGTGAAAGCGAAACTACTTTGTTTGACCTTCCAATGCGATGCAACGCGTAAAAAGACAGTATAAGTCATTATAATTAATAAGTTATTATATTAGTTAATATTTCTATATTAGTTTTCTATATTTTAAAATGTAATTTATTCCTGTGATGGTAAAAGTGAATTTTCAAGAGCCATTACTCTAGTCTCACATTGATTCTTCAGAAATCATTCTAATATGCTGGTGCTTAAGAAACATTTCTTATTATTTATGTTGAAAACAGTACAATATTCTTGTGGAAACCATGATACATTGATTAAAAAAAACATTTGCCATCTTTTTTGAAGCTGCCAGCATTTGTTTTACATTATATTCCTATGGAGTAAATGGTGTTTTCAAAAAAGTCCTGAGCGCTTTTTTAAACGCCACCTTTTTCTGCAGCTCACAGCGTCTTTTCAAGTTGAAGAAATTTAAACTTTTCTGAAAAAAACATCCTACGTCAAGCGCCTTTTTGACTGCTGACCTATGACAAGCGAGTAGCGAGACCAGTCATTTCCATAACATAAAAAAATGGAGAAGGTGCCCAAAGATAGACTTATCGTACTAGTTTAGACTTTTGTTTAGTCTAAAATATTCTGCAAACCATGCATCATCCAACTGGAGCTCCTGGACTAAATTGTTGTAAGCACCATACTGTTAACATCGTTGTGAACCGACATTCTCCTCCCCGTTAACTTGAAAAGCCAACGCTAGAGCCAACTCTTTCTCAACATTTCTGCACCACACAGCCCTAGGCTACTGTTGCAGCTGTTGTTATAGCAACGAAAGACGTCCTCGGCTGCCATTTGTAACCAAAACGCTGCCAGCTTTTTTTTTTTTTTACTGAAAAAATGCCCAATTCAACTTTTTCTTGTCAGAGAAGACACCAAGTGTGAACACGCCCTAAAAGTATAAATTCTTTCCGGGAAAAAATCCTGCTGTTCCAAAACTTTTGAACGGCAGTGTATGTCCATGTCATATTTCACCCCAACATCCAAATTGGTGTAGGTGCACTCTTGAGTTCAGAAAAATGCTCTCCAAGCCAACCAGACTCTGATATCAAAGAGACTTGGTCTGCGCCAACAGCTCTCTAGTTGCTGCTCTTGAAGAATCGCATATAAAGTTCCATTTTGCTTTTAATGAGGCAGCTCAGTAGGTTTTGCAAAAGAGGTGATGCTTCTTTCCCTCTGTTTCTTCTCTCAAAAGCTCATACCTTGTCTCTGTGTTTGTCATAGGCGGAGTGTAATTGAAGCAGTATACAACAAACTTAACCCATACAGGAATGAGGATACAGTGAGTACATCAGCTTGACCCTGTGTGGGTATAAATGCTGGGAAGTTTGCTTGCATGGTTTTTGTTGTGCTGTAGAATTCAGTCGCGTTGCACGATTTTGTTGTTTGTCACCTTCTTAAGTGTTCCAGACTTTCGTTTTTTCATTCGTGCATGTTTCCATTCTGTTCCATATTATCTGCTCTCATCTGACCGTGCTGGATAGGCTGAGCTGTGCTTTGGAAAGGGTTTTTGTTGAGTGCAGGGTGGAACCCCTCAAATTTGTTGAACAAACCGATTTTACATTTAAAAGAAAAACTTAAATGTTGATTGAATAATTTGTCATGGATTGATTGGATGATTATAGCTCTCTTGATTCAGAACAGTTCTTGATCTGAAAATAACTTAAGACGTGATGGTAACGTATAGGGTTGTCAAAGTACCAAATTTCAGTAGTCATTACCAGTAAAATTGGACAATTCTCAAATAGTGCCAGTTTCAATACCATCGAAATTTTTATCTAACACTTTATTTAAAAAGATAAATGCAATATAAATATTAGCATTAAAAATTAAAACCGTGACATGTAGTCAAGTTTTGTCATTTTTAAAGTTTTTACAGTAATTACTTTAAAGTAAAGGACAAGCAATAGAAATGATAAAACTAGACAAGCATTTTGACCAAGAAGTGCATTTTAATGTTTATGAACATAGCTGCATTTTACCATGACATGTGATTGCTCTTTACAATGTGGCATTTTAAAGCATTGTTTTTTATTTTTGTTTTGTTTTGTCTTTTTTTATTTTTTTTTATTTTTTTTATATTTGCTTTCTAGTGATACTTTTGGCATCCCTAGTGGCACGTGCATGATTTTATTTATTTAATTTTTTTTTTTAATACAAATCCTCTGTGTGTATCCATTTTTTTGTTTCATATAGACTGGATTGTTAGTGTGTTAGAAAATCAGGCACCTTGGATGCTCTTTACTTCAGCACTCAGCACTTGATTCTGATGCTTTTCATGACTACCAGCCTTGACCTGCCACACCTCAGGCTGTTCTTCCAGTTAGTCACATGTATTTTACAAACCAGTTCAAGCCTTCCCAAAATAACAGTGGAACCATTCATTGTTTTGTCATTTTCCTTTCCTTCATATTTATTAAATAATTTGTTCATGTTATATTTGTTTATAAGGGGCAGTTCAGCCTCAATCCAAGGAACCATTCTTTCGAGTAAAAGTTATAAACCGCAGTATTTACCTACTTAAACACTACCATTCAAAAGTTTGGAATCAGCCAGATTTGAAAGAAAGAAAGAAAGAAAGAAAGACATTAACATTGTTTTATAAAATCTATTTCAAATAAATGCTGTTCTTTTAAACTTTCTATTAATAAAATAATCCATTCATTGTTTCCACAAAAATATTAAGCATCATAACTGTTTTCAACATAGATAAGAAATGTTTCTTGAGCACCAAATCAGCAATGATTTCTGAAGTATCATGTGACACTGAAGACTGGAGTAATGACTGCAAAAATTTCAGCTTCACCATCACAGGAATGAATTACAATGTAAAATGGAAAAACTTTATTTTACATTTTAATAATATGACAATGTTGCTGTTTTACTCTATTTTCAAACGATCAAATAAATACAGCCTTGCTGAGCAACATCTTTCCAAAAAAAAACTTACAGACTCTAAACTTTTGAATGGCAGTTTATAGAATCAGTGAAATTGTCGCAAATCATACCTATGTAATTTATTGCTCAACCCTAATTTTATGTAATAAATGCCTACCTTTAGGCATCACAGACACTAGCTTAATTGTTTAATATTTAAAAAACTAATCCTGCATTCTACATGTTTATCTGTAGTATGTCTCAAGTCTGTTCATCCTTTATCTCTGGAGGTCGCCATTCTGACCAAATGAGCGATGCACCTCAAAATCCCCAAATAGCGTGTTGGCACACAAACAACATCAAGTGCTGTAATTTCTGTCATTTGCAATCAGCGCATCAGTTTGGCCATTTTAACCCAAGATTTGGATCCCTCCATCATTTCCATCAACATTTCCTAGAATCCTCCTTGATTTAGCTTCACCTGTGTTTCATTCTGTGTCTCACACAAACATGCATTTTCCTGAGTGGTTGGCGGTTGGAGCTTGGCGGGATCTCACAAGCTGCTCTCCTCCTCTCTCCATTCAAGGACTCTGCATCCACGGATGACATGTGGTAGCCCTGCCCCTTTAAACACTGCACAGAGTTTACAACCCTCCAGTACCCTGCACAACAACCTTTCCTACAGGACCCGGCACCAGAACCCTGCACAAGAACCCTCAACTACTACAGGACCTGCACAAGAACCCTCAACTACTACAGGACCTGCACAAGAACCCTACCACAGCCCAGCTCAGCTGCTCTGGACTGTTCGGAGGAAGAAGAGGTGGAAGAAGAGGAAAGGAACGAGGGCTCCCTCCCCTTGTTCACATAACGTTCCCTCTCAGTGCTAGGCAATGGTACCTTCTGGAAATTTTCTGCATACTCCTCTGTCCCGAATCAGTCGTTTTCCAAATCCTTTTATCCTTAACATCACCCTCTTAAAAAAATCCAACACTTTTTTTTCCATTTTAATTTTTTTGTTGTTGTTTTTTTGGTGTAATTAATTTGATTCACATTTCCTTGTGTGTTTGTATATTTCAGCTTTTATTTCTGTGAAGTGCAATTGTCTTGTACAAAGAAAAGCCTGTATCAAATTCAGCTTGATATTTAAGTTTATAAAAAAAAGACAAAAATGGCACACCTTTATGCCCTGCCTGCTTTTGTTTCCTCTCCAAAAGCTGAAGCCCAACACATCTGCCTCCCTATTTCCTTTCACTTCTTCTTTTTTTTTAAATTTTTTTTTAAACAAAATACAACTTTTTGTATTGTTACTTTTTAAGTGAAACGGGTAAATGATATGGGCTCACAGTACAGTAAGCTTTTTTGTAAATCTCACAGCACAGATGACAGTAATCGGTATGTTCTCTCAGTACTACTGTTTTTCTTTTTCTGGTGGGGTGGGTATTTTATTTTTTATTATAACTTTTTTTAATTTTATTTTACTTTTTTGAGGAAACTGCTTTAACTAACTTATTCTAAGCTGAAGTTGTGTGTGTGAATGAGTGAGTCTTATGAGAAATCAATGGTGTTGTGTATGTATGTGTGTGTGTGTAAGAGGATGCATGTTTGATCCACCAAACTATTTCCATAGTGCAAGGTGTGTGTGTGTGTGCGCGTGCATTGTGAGTCTATTACCTGATGCGCTAACCCTGATTATCTTTTATCATCAACACTAGGACTCTTCTCTACAGTGTTCTGCACTACTGCAGCACTTGATTTTTTTTAAGATTAAGTTGGTCTGGGAACATCTTAAAGAATCTCCTGCACTTGCTGGAAAAAAAGGAATTGTTAAGAAGTACTCCGAACTGGGACAGGCCCTATTAAGTGTGGTTATGTATGTGTCTGGTTGTCAGTGCATATGGTCTGAATGGATGTGTGCGATTGCATGTTTATTGTGCTTAAAATTGTGGGTTTAATGGGGGATATTTAGGCTTTTGACACAAATATATAAGGCTTTAGCTATAGCGCTCAATCACCCATCTGCACTGCTGAGACAGTGATGAGTGAATGCTTTCTGAGATTAACACTCAACTCTCAGATTTTTCTTCGACATAAACCATTCGCTTCATCTCGTGTTGATTTATGTTATCTGTTTCTTAGTTTTTGGATGTGGTGATTTTTCTTTCCCTCTCTCTCTTCAAAGAACAAATACAGTGTGATGCAGTGAGCTGACCTGGTTTAGGCCAGAGCCCGCATGTGTTCCTCTGACCAATAGGGAGCGCAACAGAGTACTGTTTGCTGCTAAAGTGTGTGATTGAATCATTCGTTCATTCATTTGAATGCTCTTAGTTGATATTCTCCTACACCTTTTCCCCCAATGCTGTATGTAACGTAGTTCTGAATTAATTTAATAGTATTTTTTCAGAGAGATTGTCACTTGTTTATTTGTCCTGATTGTCTGAAACGTGACGTGGTAAAATCACCCCCTTTGTCCTTACCATCCCAAACTAAATTTTATGTATGGAACAGATTATATGAACAGGAATTCCCTTGCATCTGATAAATATAAATGAGCTTTTTAGTCTAAGTCCGTATATTTGCATACTGAAAAAAGGGTAGGTAAAATAATAATTTCTTTAAGTCTTTTTCGTGAACCTCACAGGGTGATTTATTAAACTAATATTGTAACAAAATGACAATCTAACAGTGTATAGCTAATGTAAACGGAAAAATCTCCCTGTATTCTCTATGCTTTTGGCTTGTGGTATTTTGTTTGTGGAATGGTGAGCTGTGTGTTTTCCCCAGTGGAAGCTGGAATGTTGTGTAACAGGAGGATTTACGAAATGAATCTAAAATTAACAGGATGTTTTAGGATGGTCTTGGAGGCCAGGATATGTTCATGTGTCTTTAAGCTTTTTTTGCAAGCTGCGTGGAATCACTCTTAATAGGATACTGTTGGATTGCTTAACCCCAGTTTGGTTTTATATGGCTTAAAAGTAATTAACAAATTACGTGACTCATGGACTGCTATTATACAGATTCTCCTTCTTTGTAAGATGCCCAGATGCTTTTTAGATCAGAAATACAGAATTCGTAGTTGCAAGATGGTCATAACCACAGGTCTATTAAGTGGGGAGAGGTTATGTAATGATTTACAGTGAAGCATACAAGCCCAGTTATAGATGATGGAGATGTTTATGAATGTGTTTTTACTAAGTTAAGTCTTGTCACTGAACTTGACAAGGGCATTTTACAAGGAATTTAAATGACTCATGAACCATTGCATTTGTCTTTTGCTAAATATGTGTCACAAACCTTTAGATGACCCCTATTTTAGGTTTAGGCTCTGAAATCCTATTTCTGTGGTCTCAAGCTCTATAGTGTTAGCGTGGTAGCTCATTTCAGTTGATTTATTCAGACCTGCCTTCTAATGTATAAACCCAAGTGATTAATGCAGCCTTAATGCCTCCTGCAAAACTCCACCCCCAAACCCTTGAGCTTTACTCGAATATTACAGAGCTCTGTACAGAAATGCACCACAATTTTGTGCTAAAGGGAACTCAATTTTATAGCACGGTGTGTAATTCAGTGGTTCGCCCTCACACATTCTCATAGACACACGTATGGTATTTTACTCTCGTGAAATCCCACCTCCTACCCCAACAGGATTATTTTTGCTGATTTCAGTCATCTGCTGTCCTCATAAGCTAAGCTAGTTTTGTTAAACAATTGATATGTATATTTGTATTCATTTATAAATATGTACACAAAATGAAGTGAATAATCAAGGATAATCTCTTCTCCCTGTAACCCACTGGTCATCCTCTAACTGTTCCACTGTCCATTTTTGTTGTTTTAATCTTTTCAGACTGGAAATAAACCTATTTTATTTGAAAAAAATTAAAATTAAAATTGTGTGCAGTTTTTTTTATTTTTATTTTAATTTTATGTTGCCTTTTCTACAAGAAGGGCTGTTTTATGTTGTTTTGATGTCACAATTCAATATTATGAAATTACAGCTCACAATGAAAGAAGGATATGCTTAACAGAAATTCTGCAAAAGGTTTGTTTATATTTTAAAAGCAGTGATTGGGAATTATTCACTACCAGCTTTAATTTAATTGTTTGATTTAATTTTATTTATTTAAAAAAATGATGAATACTTCAAGGATGCATCAAAAAATGATCAATGCAATTGATCAAAATTGACAGTAAAGAAATGTAAAAGACTATTTCAAATAAATTGTTCTTTAACTATTTATCAAAGAATCCTGAAAAACGAAATGTAGCATGGTTTCACAAAAATATTAAGTCACAACTGTTTTCAACATTATGCAAGAATAAGAATAACAAGAAATGTTTATTGGTATTGTTAGAATAATTTCTGAAGGATCATGTGACACTGAAGACTGGAGTAATGGCTGCTGAAAATTCAGCTTGGCCTTCACCGGAATAAATTACGTTTACAAATATTTTAAATATACCACCATTATTCTTAACTGTAATTAAATTTCACAATATTACTGTTTTTACTGCATTACTGGTTTTAATGCAAGCCTTGGTGAACATCTGCTTCAGGGACTTGTGTCAAAAACACACACACACAAACCTTTCTTCTGTCTTTCAAATCTTTACATTGACCACCAGTATGACCCAATATTTTTGCTTAGAAGCTGCAGTTAATTCTGTCATCTATAATTAGCTTTTGGGATTCTGAGACCCATTTTCTAAAGTAAATAAAAGCAGTTGTAATGTGGCCTTCTTTATTTGTGTTCTGGGATTTAAGGTGGATGTGGCCTCTTGTTTCTGAAGGGAGAGGCCAATAAAAAAATCAAGTTAGATGGCTACAGATGAGATTTAGATGTAGGAAAAAGTGCTCCAATTTATTTAAAATATACTGTTTATTTTAATTTCAGAGCAACAGAGATCCTAAATCTGAGTCATAGTGCTGGCAGCATTTCATTCACATAGCGATATTTTCCCCTTTTATACTTCGGAACCAGCAACGTGATTTGTTATAGCCTGACCACAGTGTCCTTCAGAAGTTATTAAAACACTTTAATTTTACAGCTGAATGGCTGCTCCCTATTTAACAGATTTGTTATTTACCTTGCATATGTTGATGAATTAGTGAGTATTGATGTTTCATTTTGACATCAGTCTTGAAATGGGAAAGCAAATGTGCTTCTTTTGTGCAACATATTTTGCACTTTACAATGGAAAATTAAAAAGGGGGATGGTAGTAGAAAGATTTGCAAGAATTCTTAAAGATTAGTGCTTTGTTTTTAATGATGAGAGACACTTTTTTAATGCATTTCAGAAAAAGTGAGAAACAGGAGTTTACCTTCTCAGCCAAACTTGTAATTGTACTCCCTCTTATCACATGTAGTGTTCCTAATGTATTTGGGTGATCCTTTGTGTCGGTCCATCTACTGTTCTTTTACAGATCTGAAAAGTTCTAATTTTTGTCTTTAGGCAGCCAGGTGGGGGCAGTGTGAGTTGGATAAAAGGAAGAGACTATGAAGTGAAGCCATTGTCAAAACCAAAGTCAGTCAGTTTAGAACAAATTACTTAAAATTAAAAAGAGCTCTAGTAAAATGGAAATGGATTATCATTTCTGAGTCTCTCGAAAATCGAATGTTTTTTTTTTTTTAAGTATCCATAAATCTAACTGAAAAAAAATCATTTTATATGTGTACCAGTGAATGCTGCTCAGGTAGATTTTTAATTGTAATTGCAAACATTTACCTAGGATCTAAAAGACAGAAGTGTATTTAAGTGATAGTTTACCCAAAAATTCACCATTTACTCACCCTTATGTCATCCCAAATCTGTTCTGTAGAATGCAAAAGAAGATAATTTGAGAAATGTCTCAGTGTTTTTCCATGTAATAGAAGTCAATGGTGACAGCGGAAAACCTGGACATCATACTCTAAACAACGGATGGTCACACTATCGGACTCTCAAATCATTCCGAACACAACAAACACACAGAAGAGGCCCATGACAAATGAAACGTGTTGTAAATGTTTGATATCCTCATCCCATTCGACTAGTCTGGAATCATAGTCTGAAGTAAAAAAATAAAATAAAAATCATAGTCTATACCCACCATACTCTACATGATTTTCTGTGAAATCTGTTAACTCAGACTGTCCAAAATCTGCAGACTGGCTCTGACTTTCGGCAAGTAGTGTCAACTCCTCCAGACTGTAATTCAGCTCAATTCAGGCAAAAGTCTTTACAAAAGTCATGTAATGTATTCAGAAAACAAAGTCTGATCAAATAACAAAATGAAGCACACTCAGTCAGGTCAGAACCCAAAAAACAGCCTGAAGTACTATGCTGAAATTATATAGCCAGAATTTTTCAATGCATGTATACAGCATTTTTGTTCACAGTGTAATAATAGCCAGGAGTAGATTGCAGAAAATGAACCTGAAATGATCACTCACCACAGAGGGGTTTACAGCCTCCCTTTTTCCTCTCTCTCTCTCTCTTAGAGGACTTACAAACACTTTTCAGGCCTGTTGACCTGATGCAGTCTGCCCTCTCGTTGTTTTTCCTGTTATGCTGCATGTGCATGTTTATGTTTGAAAGGGAGAGTTGTATCCCTCTGCTGCAGATGCACAGATTCATCACAGTCATACAAAACAGTTCAGCCTGCCAATAACAGATAGATAATATTGACTCTGCCATTACACTTCTGTCCTCTTTTGCATCTCTTCTTTCATATTCTCTAATACTTCTCTCAACAATTAGCACTCTTTTTCAGCTGTATGCAGTTGTGTGTGTATTTCTCTTTCTCCCTCTGTCATTCTCAGTCACTGGAGAGCACCGCTGTGTGAAACAATGTAGCTAAATTAGCTATTTTTATTAGGACCTTATTAAAAGCTCTTGGGTGAGTTTCTTATACTCAGTAGAGATTTGAGTTTTGTTGGAATTTGCAATATTTCTTTCTTTCATAAGATGCACAAGAGATGTACATTTCTCTCCCAGCCAGTGTTTTTATTTGTATGCATTTGCTTTGACCGGGTGCTGAGTTTGTATTTTAACCCTCAGCATGCTCTGTTTTGCTCTTCTCAAAATGGCCTGTACATCTCTGTAGTCAATTCTTTCTGTTCTTCTCCTCCAGCATCCAGACATCCTTTTCTTCAGAGGTTTCAGCTAGATGCAGCACAAGTCCTCTCCTCTTCTTTCTCCTTTTCCCCTTACTTCTCTCCATTTGTCTGTTTATGCTTCTAAGATTTATGCTTTTTAGAGATGATAACTTTAGAAGATCTCTAGAATGAGCATCCTGTTTTTCAACACGCACGCATGTAGTTTTGTGTCTCTGTGATGGTTGTTTTATGATTTTGCTTAATTTTGACCAGGTTAGTCTCACTGAATATATCATATATGA